TTTTTTTTTTTTTTCGATATATTTTGTGGCAGATGATGACTATGAACTATTAAAACTGGCCTTATGATCGCTAACTGAATTATCAGATATTTCAACCAGTCATCCTGCAGTCATCTGAGCTGATTTCTTACCATCGACATGTTTTGACTAGATACCAGTTTTTTCTGTCCAGTCAATTTTCACTGATTGTTAATAGAAAAAATAATAAAAGCTTGAACTTTTTTTCGTTTTTTTTCCTTTAACATGTAACACTTATGTGAGGACAGCAATGAGGTGCTAAGAAATAAAAACATGAACAAATTTTAACCTATTCTTTTTTTTTTGGAGAGGGAAGAGGAAGGCGGGAGAGAAAGGAAGGATCAATTAATGCTGTCTTTTTTTTATTCCTTTTAAAAAATGACCTTTAGCTTTGAAAAAAATTGCCGGCACATTAATTCTTTGTACGCAAAATGGGAGAGGAGAAGAGGGCGAAGAAATTGGGCAGTTATTTTTGCATTACAATGTAAGAAGTAACGATAGAGGTTTTTTTTCCTTTTCCGATAAATATTTTGAAAAAAAAATTTATTTTTTTATTAAAAGAATACCGACAGTTGTTAACAAGATATGGGTTTATTTTATTTTGTTTTTCACTTCTTTTTCTATTTATTTTTATTTTTTTTTTATTTTTTTGAAATAATATAAGAATGCAAATTTCAGTTTTGGGCTTCCCCTCCTTCTTCATATTCTGAAAAAAAAAATATTTTAATTTTTTACTTGTATATTCATAGTCAACCAATTTTACAAGCTTTTCAGGGCCACCAGAAATTGTTATACAAAACGGCAGTGAAGTATGGTTTCGGACAAGTCAATTGTCCAATTATCAAAATAAATTTTCATTGTTTTGCCATGCGACGGGCGATCCAGAAAAGTTTGAATTGATGAAACTATTTAAGATTAAAGAAAACACAAAGGAAAAAAAAAGACAAATATTTTAGCAACTTGCAAGCTTACTGAACATTGCTTTACTTGATTACATATATATGGGCCATTCCACGCCAAATCGCACAAGTCTGTACCTCAACCTCTTAAATTTTTTTCATTTTTTGCCAACTTGTAGCACTTGATACCAAATTTTAAAATCGAAAGAGTTTACCTCAAAAAGTGCGCTGGCGGCAAAGTTAGACTGTTTGAAGTGCGGAAAAACCTCAGTTTACCCTTGACATGCTCACACCTTTAGGAGCTCGTATTTTCCTTCATCCGCAACAGATATTTCTGATTTTTACTTCTTTTGAAAGCTTTTCTCTTGCAAATTTAGAAGAATGGTGAAACGATTATATTAACAATTTTACTCCAAAGCAAAATAAAAGCGAAAGTTTAAAACGATTTTTCTCAAAAGCAGACATTTTAAATTTTTTAAAAAAGACATATTTTTTAAAGAAATATTTTCTACACAACATATAAAAATTACAAAGTGGTGTCTTTTTGGCATCAAGAGTTATGGTACGATTGGTGATAGTAGACTGGAGAAAACTCCTAATTCTAGCAGCATTTTAGCGCTTTCGCAAGCCTCAGACCTTCTGTTTCCGCTAAAATTTTATTCGTTTTTTTTAGTGTATATAATCCTTGTGAAACTTTTCAACTTTTTTACTTCAATGACAAAAAATC